ATCACCGTACAATTTAGGATGTAACCGTTTGAAATACGTTTTCTACAGGTATAGCCACACTCGCAAACCAAACCTTAGTATATATGGCAGAATTTAGTAAAGGTTTAAAGTAATTTGTGGTAACGAAATCCTTGACTTAATCATTTACCTGATATACATAGAAATCCAAAACGTCACTACAGACACGGGCAAAGCGAACGAGTTGGGAAATATCAACACAGTGAGACGGTGATAAAGGAACACCTATCTAAGTACGTTATTGTAAATAGTTTCAGCATGTCACTAGTTCAGTTTTCTCCGTCAATAATAATAGTGTGTTTAATTATGGGAACGGCAAATGTTTGCCTTCACCTCGATTCAAAAGAATTGCCGTATTTATCCTATTAGAATAGAAATAATTCATGTGGGCTTGAATTTATACTGATTTTACCACGGGTTGGCCCTTTATGCTAGAAATGGGCGTAATACTTACTCGGATATTTATTTCTAAATTATTTTCGAAAGGTGATATGCGAATATCAACAATATTCAGACATTTTTTAAGTAAGAATCAAGTGTCTGTTGTCAGATTTCTCCCGCTTACACAATTTTTTACAATAGGAAAAAAAAAGCATCTTAAATAACCTGACGAAACTCTTCCCAATTTATTTTCGACGGTGTACGATATTTTGAACCTTTTTTTTTAAAAGTTTATAACTTCTCGGTCTTAAACGATGTTAAGGTCCCCTGTAATTACAGGCCATGTTGATGATTTCTAAACTTCAATGTTTCACAGTCTCGTGTTGAAGGAGTATTATTTTCTATACTGATGTCTGATGTAACTGACGTATAATTAAAATTAAATTCTACTGTTATTTTTTTATACGAATAAGAAATTATAGGTGGCTCTATGTTATCAAAATATAGAGATATAAAGTTTTGAACGGTAGTGTCATGAAACATACAAGACAAATTAATAAAATCAATACCATTATTGATGTTTTTTATTTTTAGAAAATACTTTTTATAATCTTTGCCTCCTTTAACACAATTGTGAAATGTGCTAAATTTTGAAGGTGAATTTCGATAAGTGGCAGGAGACAATAGGTAGTGCAGTCGAAAATTTTTAATAAAAACTATAGTTAACTGACTCGAGAACACAGTTTGTTTTTGTGCATATCTTTCAGCGTTTGTTTTTTCTATCCAGTTTGAAAAAAAGAACTCTTTTAAAACGCTATAAACTATGTCCTTTCATACCAAACATCAAATTAACACTGCCATAACTGCATCGTTTTCAAACTGAACTTTCAATAAATCTTACGACTGACCAACTATATCAGTGCACCATAAACGTTCAGAGTGGTGTACACAGTTGACTATTTTATGGACAATTATTGCTTTAACATTTTACTATTAAAGATTTGTTTTCAATTTACAAGACATGTTATATGTTAACTCAATTTCCTAAAATGTTTGTTCATGTGCCATATAAAGCAACTTTTTTATGTCGTACAATGTTTCTCTATTTGAAACCATATATGTATAAATAAATTAATAAGTGATCCGAAATGAATAGCTGTTTTGTACAGTTAACAAGTTACAATTTGTAGACTATGGTACAGCTTACAGGTTATAATTTGTAGAATATGTCTGGGATAATAGCATGTAGAAATACGTAATTACCGACAACACGTCAAATACAGTTTAGTCTCCTGAATTCATGACGAGAAAAATTTCACATGATGGTTCGATTGAGCTGTAGATTGGTCGTAATATATAGCGAGTCAATCGCAGAGAAAGACATTATATGTAATGTATATACGTACAGAAACATGAGAAACCTACTTAGACATAATAACTTTCAGATACAATCCGTGCTAATGTAAAGCAGTTACATTTAAAATCATTTATTGCAATAAACATCATGAAATGTTAATACAACAAATAAAAATATATGTAAAATAAACTGGTGATGTAATTAAAATAAGTGCTTTGTGTTTTTACTATATGGATGGTGATATCGTTTGGTGACGGATCAATTAATGATCCTGAATGTATTTGTTTTTGTCTAAATCCGGAACTTTTACATATTCAATATTGCATGTATATGGTATATTTTAAAGGTCAAATATTGTTTTGTAAACATGTAAGAACGCAATTAATGTCAATTTGAAAAGGAAACTATATAAGAAAAACATACATGATTTCAAATCTAGAAATGGGCTAGGATTAAGCATTTCAGTCTGGTAAACATGATTTAAGTATTAGTTGTTTTTTGGCTTTTAACTAACTTGCATCTACTACGAGTTCTCTTTATCGATACTTGTTATCTGTGTTCGTATTTTCGTTGTGTTTTGTGGATAAAGCCAATCTTACGAGGCAAGCCATTTCCTCGGAGTTCAGTATTTTGTGATTTTACTTTTTTCCTATTGCTTTTTACACTTTGTTTTTTGCTTACTTGGTTGTTCATTTGGTATTTGTTGGAAAGCTGTCACATTGGCAATCAAACCACTTCTCCTTATTTTTATATTGATCGATCATTGATTTTTGATTAATGTTTTGTTGATGTCATTTGTCGTTTGGTCTTTTTTTACCTGTTAATGACTTATAGTTTTAAATTATCCCAATGCTTATTTTACTGTGTGTAACAAAAGGTTGTCTTTACGTTTTAAATCTATAATATAGATAGATAATAAAATTGAAAATGGAAATGGGGAATATGTCAAAGAGACAACAACCCGACCAAAGAGCAGACAACAGCCGAAGGCCACCAATGGGTAAACACATTTCAAACTGCATTTAAGTAGCAATATCACCTTTTGGTATCTTATTGGACCCTCGACGGACGCTTCTGTAATAATAATCTGTATCATATACGTAATACTAATAAGTATGATAATAGCATTATATCAATTTATCATATACTTAGAGTAAATTACTCTAGGATTTTCACAGTACGATAATAACATTCAATTTACGTAAATTCCATAGTTTCCGTAAAATGTGCTTAGCGGTCTTATATAAAATTATCCTTAACTGCCATAATTGGAAATGAAACATAATCAATTAGGACTTTTTTCTAATTTTTCCATTTCTTTCTTTTTGTATGATATTGTAATATTGTGTCAACTGACACATTTCTCTTTAATATGAATTAAAGAATTATTAAATATTGAGAGCATGTCAGTGTACGCTTGTTTTATTGCTGTGTATTAACAAAACTCATCATAGATACCAGGTCCAATATTGTGTACGCCAGACGCGCGTTTCGTCTACAAAACACCCAACAGCGATGCTCGAATCAAAAATGTTAAAAAGAAAAAAAAAGCAAAATAAAGTACAAAATTGAAGAGCATTGGCAACTTAAAATTCTGAAAAGTCAAATGATAAAAAAATTCATCAACAACAAAACATTTAATAGTTCATGTCACATTTATGAATCAGAAGTTGTAAAGATGAAATCATCCTTTCAAAAATTTTACGGACGCCATCAGAAGTTGGTTTGAACTTTATGAAATATCTGTTTCACAAATGACGACGAATATATTCCAATTGTCGCAACCACAAACCCCTCCTTTTTTCCACGAATATGACCTACTGAATTAATCTTATCATCGGATTTGTACATGCATCAGCAACATGACGGGTGCCACATGTGGGTCAGAATCTGCTTACCCTTCCGCACCTGAGATCACCTACGGTTTTTGCTAAGTCTTTGGTTTTCTGTGTTGTGATGTGTTTTGTGTACTGTTGTTTATCTTTTAGTCCTTTTCTATTTTTTGCCATGGCGTTGTCAGTTTTTGTTCGACTTTTGAGTTTGAATGTCCCTTTGGTATCTGTCGCCTCTCTAAAGAAGAACTAAACATTAAGTGTTCTACAGCCGCGACTTCAATGAATAAAACTGCATTATACACCTTACAAAACACATTTAGAAGGTTATTGGATTAATACTACATTAAAAAGTATATTTTCAAATAATTCCATTAAAATTTATGGAAAACCGTAACTGCGAAAGAATACATACAGCTCTTTGGTAATTATACAATGTTTTAGCAATTCTTAACCTGTTATAAAAAAATCATACAAACATAATGGAGAAGTTGTTCTTAATTTAAACGTCGCAAATGCATGTGTCTATTGTAATAAAAATCAATAAACGTAAATTACAAACAAAATCTATTCACCAGTAATCCATTCCATAACCGTGAATTGGTGAACGTTAAACGGCGATGCATTTCAATTTTGCTGAACACTGCAAACTTTTGAACTAAATTATAAGTGCAACAGCACAAATTGTGTCAGTTTTAATCAGTATGTATATGTACTTGTCGGATAAATTATATTGCAAGGGATATCAACGTTTGAGTTAAATAATGTCGCAAATTGGTCTTGCTCAAGTGATTTGCAAGGACACTCTCCACCACAATTGAACGGAAGAAAGAATTAAGGATAACTAAAAAATGATGAAAACATGCATTTATCAATTTTTTTACTGTGTCTACATAGATATTCAATTAGAATGTTGTTTTAATCTAAGTAAGCCCTGTATCAAATAAGGGGATACTTGATTGGATTTTAAGCTTTAGTGACGTAAAAGAAGTTTTTGTTTATTTTGTATATTGTTAAAAGTATGTATTTTGTTCTAGTTATCAATACGGTTCTCATTTTCAAATGCCTCTTAGATTATGCAATAGTTTGAGAGATTCTCTACTCAAGATGCTGGCTTTTTTGCGCTGCACTCTAATCGAAAATGACGAAATTTCTCAGTTCGAAGAAAAATATCTGTATTATTATTGAAGAATTAAGTAACTTATATTCAATGTGGGCTAATATGATTACTATTTAAACTTCCTGTTGTATTTTTATATTCGTAGGCATTTCCCGTTAAACGTGTATTTAGAAGATGTTAATGATATTTAATCGTCGAACGTATCACTCAATTCTTATATAAATGTTATGATTTTTTTCGAATTCTTTAATATTTGGCATTGTCTAAACTCAAATAATTATCAAATGAGATGTTAGACAGTATTTTGTATCGTCTGTAGTTCTGTTTGACCCTCAATATTAGGTCGTGTACCAACTGACTTGTCTATCATATTTCTGTTGTCCTTCTTCTGTTTTTCTTCTAACACACATTTACATAGTTTTGTGATTAAAGGTGATCTTTTGATAATCGCCTGTTTAAATCCCTCGTTTACGAATGCGTAAACGAATGGATTGACACAAGAATTAGCATAAGAGAGTGTGTGACCAAATAATTTAACATAATGCATTGCATCTGTTCTAGGAAAGTTCGGATCGAACTGTATCCAAAGTGCAATCAAGTGTATGGGAAACCAGCACAAAGCAAACAAGAATACTACTATAGCCACCATTCTCGTTACTCGTTTTTTACGTCGAAGTTGCCTTTCATGTTTGTCATTTTTGATTGGTAGTGCAGCTTCATTCTGAAATTAAAAAAAAAAAAAAATTGTATATATTTATTTTGTATACAATTCAACCATTCACACATGTATACCCAAACGACACATAAATAGTGAGATAGGATATATTGGGCAAGTCTGCTTTATGTTACTTCACATCCTATTAATAAATGGATTTCTCTTCATTCCACTGAATACCCAAATTCAGAAATGTCCTAACTAATTCTAAAGTTGAAGAGGGGAATTCGGTGACCAAGTAGCCGTAGTATTTCATCAGTATCACTAGCCTAGCTGTCAATCTGAGGTTGTGTGTTCAAAATCCACACCTTGCAAAATTAATGGCTTGTTTCCTCGTTTCTGTAAGTCTGCATTTGTGTGGAAACTTGCTATGCTCCTACATTAGCAGCAGTTATTTCGTATTCTCTAAAAAAATTAAAAAAGCTACCACTATTCTTCAACTTGACGTTCTGATATACAATGTAGTACTGTAAACATTTCCTTCTCGTTTATAAGCTGGGTCCGTTTTGCTCTTCCTTAAGTTTTATTTATTATATATTTGGAACGGCTTGGATTTCTCAATTATTTATAAAAAGTGAAAGTGAAAGAGGTTGCTTTTCTGCGACATGCGACATGCGATTAATTATTCTGCTATCATGGGTATTATCTATTAGTATTGATTTCAACCGATATCTGTGTTGTGGTAAATTCGCTATCTATTCATTATTGTATTCAGATTTCAGAAATGATACGGATGTTTCAATTTAATATTTTGACTTTCAGTTCAAATGCATTACGGACGCGATCATGACTTGGCTAACCGAAATAGAAAGTAAGTTTCTTAGATGAATATGGAAATCCTGCTGTTTTAGCCAAAATAATGTCATCCCTTGCTCGAGTATTCCCATCACCGATTGCGACTTATCAGCAGAAGGTTTAATTGTAATGATGCCATCAGTGAAACAGAAACGATGCATTACCAACCCGGAGAACATGAGGTCACCTTTCCCATTTGATAACGTGTATAGCACATTACAGTGAGAGTTGTTTAACTATTAACACTCAAGTGATACAATCTTCCACATGCGAAAGTCTCTAGGCATTAAAATTGACCCTTCCCTTACATGGACAAACCAAATTGATTTGATCTGCTCAAAAATTTCATATAGGCTATATCTACTATTAAAGATAAAGAAATTTCTCTCCAGTCTAAATCTAGACTGGAGAAAATTATTCTATGATGGTTATATCTTTCCACTAATTGACTATTGTTGTATAGTGTGGAGTAGTTGTAGCAGTAAGGGTTTAAATAGGATATTAACAAAACAGAGCTGCTAGAATAATACTAGAACTCCTTCCGAACCTTTCTTCAAACACTTAAACTGGATGACAGTTGAACAGAGAATAAACTATCACAAGTTTGTGATGACATTTAAGTGCATCAAAAATGATGCCCCATCATATCTTACTAGCAAGTTTCATTATGTTTCAGACAGAAATCCATACCCATTGAGAAATGCTGTTCAAGGAAACATCATACTACCTAAACCAAAAATAGAACTGCTCAAGAAATCTTTTATGTATTCTGGACCATTCTTGTGGAATAATTTGCCAATTTGTTAATTATTTCAAATACAAAATAACAGATCATTTATTTGAAATCAACCTGTTGAAAAAAATACTGATTATTTCATCATGTTTATTTTTTCGTAACATTTTTATCAAGTTGTATTGAACATTATCATCATACTTGACTTTTATACTAATGTATGCCATGTTTATGTTTGCATTTTTGTTTATGCTTTTCTATGATGCAATTCTTACTTTTTTCGTTCCGTTGTTTATTTTTTAATGTTAAGAATTATAATATTTGAACTAACATTACTTTGCCAAATCTTAATATGCACCATAAAAAGTATATGGATAACGTATTTGTTTATGTTTCTTGCTAACCAAGAGAACATTGCAAATACTTAAGGCTGTTGAGAATCCTTTTGCATATCCCGTTTTTTTTTTAATTTTCTTAGAGTTTATGTCATGGCCATCGACGGCAATGTACACATCACCTGTCGGAAAACTTTTCAATGATTCTTTTTAAGTTACACCAAAACATACACACAATTTTTACATGTTATATTCCTACCTCGGGCTTTGCTCGTTTCATTTTATTTCCCTTCCAGAGATGTTGCAAAATACACCCATAACATATTGTTATAGCTGTCATTGGAATAAAAAACGTTGTCATGACAACTGCTAATGTGGTAGCTTTAATCCATTCTGGACTTGGCCACATGACGGCACAGTCTAAAATTCCCTCATTTCCATCACGCTCTATAACTCTTGGGAACAGGAAGAATGGTAGTGATATGCTGATTGACACTAGAAATAAAAACAAAATGAAACTATTTACATAGAAATAACTGTGATCATGTGAACAAACTTTTAAGATGGATTACTCTTTTTACTTCTGTATTTACAAAAGTATCATTGCGACTTATCTTATCCTTCCGGTAACGTAAACAGGAATAAATGAATTGATATTTTACTTTTGTTGTTGTTTTCCAAAATCCCTGATTCTAATAAACAGACAAAGTAAGGTGATATGTGATTGTTCACCTCTTTATGGATTGTTTCTCAGTAGCAATTATATCTTTTATATTCATTCACCTATTCTAATGTAAATAAAATACTCTTTTTCAAGGAAATACATGACACTTTAAACAATCCATGTAAACCCAATAAAGTATTCTAGTTGAGTATATTTATTTTTTTTATATTCAATTCTCTTATTTTCGATCCTAATAAAAATTATACACACAAATCGGATTTCAAATAATCGAAGAAAAGACGAAATCAACTCGACAAGGATCAGATAATTTTATTCACATTCTAAAGAAAAAGAGACAAAGGATAAAAGAATAATGTTTTGGTTCGTATCATTAGTTATAATACAGATAATACAGTTGATAAATTTAGAAACAAAAAAAAAAACAAAAAAACCAAAGCACATAGTAAGGTTGTTTTGATAAAATAAAATGTCTCACTTTGGTATGGGTGACCTTTCGAATCAGACATGTCACAGGGTTTGTACTTAGATGAGCAACACGATGGGTGCCACATGTGAAGCAGGATCTGCTTACCCTTCCGGAGCACCTGAGATCACCCCCAGTTTTGGTGGGGTTCGTATTGCTCAGTCTTTTGTTTTCTATGTTGTGTTTTGTGTACTGATGTTTGTCTGTTTGTCTTTTTCCTTTTTAGCCATGGCGTTGTCAGTTTATTTTCGACTTATGAGTTTGAATGTCCCTTTGGTATCTTTCGCCTTTCTTTTACTCACCTTTTCTGACCGTTAAGAAAATAAACGATCTTAGAGTAATTACATTATAAGCTAATGGAATTCAGGAGTAATTTTAGAGTTATATGATCAGAATAGAATTTCGAAAATTCTTGTATCAGATTTAAGATACCGGCACGAATTCCAAGTCTTATAAATTACAAAAAACATGACAAAACCTAGGCTACGTATATATATACATGCCCGTACTCCTAGACTATAAATCACGAAACCTTGGCTGCATACATGGCAATACTCCTACATTTATAAAAGAGGGACGAAAGATACCAGAGGGACAGTCAAACTCATAGATCGAAAACAAACTGACAACGGCATGGCCAAAAATAAAAAGACAAACAGACAAATAATAGTACAGATGACACAACACAGAAAACTAAAGACTAAGTAACACGAACCCCACCAAAACACGGGGTGATCTCAGGTGCTCCAGAAGGGTAAGCAGATCCTGCTCCACATGTGGCACCCGTCGTGTTGCTTATGTTATTACAAATCCGGTAAATAGTATAATTCAGTAGGTCTTATTCGTGAAAAGGGAAGGGTATTGTAGTTACGACATAAGGAACATATCCGATATTATCTGTGAAATGGTTATTCCATAACGGTCAACCAACCCGTGATGGCTTCCGTAAATAACAAAACCTTGGCTACATACATGACAATACTCATAGACTTTAGATTACGAAACCTTGGCTACATACATGTTTATACTCCTACACTTATAAATGAATAAACATTAGATGATTACCTGCCCACACTCATAGCTTTATAAATGACGAAGCTTTAACTACAAACCTGCCCTTAAACCTAGACTAATAAATGACAACACCTTAGTTTACATACCTGTCTATATTCATAAGCTTATAAATGACAAAACCTTAGCTACACACCTGTCAAAACGCACACGCTTATATACGACGAAACCTTGGCTGCACATACCTGCCTATACTCCTAGGTTAAAAGAAAGGCAAAGCATTAGTGACGTTCCTGTCAATACTTCAAGGCTTATAAATGACGAAACCTTAGGTACATATATGCTTATTATCCATGGCTTATAAAAGACGAAACCTTAGGTGCATATCTGCTTATTATCCTATACTTATGAATGACGATACCTTGTCTACATGCCTGCCCATAACCCTAGGCTTATAACTGACGAAAACTTGATTACATACCTGCCCATACTTCTAGGCTTATAAATGACAAAACCTTGGCTACATAACTGCCAATTCTACTAGGCCTAAAAATGATGAAACATTGTCTACATACCTGCTCATTATCCTAGGCTTATAAATGATGAAACCTTTTCTACATACCTGCCAATACGCATAGGATGATAAATGACGAAACATTGGCTACATGCCTGCCCATACGCCTAGGCTTATTAATGAGGAAACTTTTGGTACAAACCTGCCCATTCACCTCAGCTTATAAATGACGAAACATTGGCTTCACACCTGCCCATAACCCTAGGCTTATAAATGATGAAACCTTTGCTACATATCTGCCCATACTGCTGGGTTTCATAAATGACGAAACATTAGCTACATGCCTGCCCATACGCCTAGGCTTATACATTAGGAAACCTTGGCTAAAACCTGCCCATTCTTCTAGGCTTATAAATGACGAAATATTGGTTACATACCTGCCTATTCTCGTAAGCTTATAAATTATGAAACCTTTCCAACATACCTGCCCATACTCATAGGCTGATATATGACGAAACATTGGCAACATGCCTGCCCATACGCCTAGGCTAATAACCCTAGGCTTATAGTGATGAAACCTAAGATACATACCTGCTCATTACCCTGGGATTTTAAATGACGAAACTTGGCTACATACCTGCGGATACTCCTAGGTTAATAAATAATGAAACCTTGGCTACATACCTACCCATACTCCTTGGTTAATAAATGACGAAACATTTGCTACATACTTATCCATCCTCCTAGGCTAATAAATGATGATGTTTTGGTTACATACCTGCCCATATTTCTAGGTAATAAAAAATGAAATTTTTGCTTCATACCTACCCATACTCTTATGGTAATAAATGATGAATGCTTGGCTACATACCTGCCCATACTCCTAGCCTAATAAATGACGAAACATTGGCTACAGACCTGCCCACAATCCCCGGCTAATAACCCTAGGTTTCTTATGATGAAACCTTGGCTACATACCTGCCTATACTCCTCGGCTAATAACCCTGGCTAATAATGATGAATCCTTGGCTACATACCTGCCCATACTCCTAGCCTAATAAATGACGAAAAATTGGCACAGACCTGCCAATAATCCTCGGCTAATAACCCTAGGCTAATAATGATGAAACCTTGGCTACATACCTGCCAATACTCCTCGACTAATAACCCTAGGCTAATAATAATGAAACCTTGGCTACATACCTGCCCATATTCCTAGCCTTATAAATGACGATACATTGGCTACATATCTGCCTATTCTCCTAAGCTTATAAATGATGAAACCTTGGCTACATACCTGCCCATACTCCTAGCCTAATAATTGACGAAACATTGGCTACAAACTGCCAATACTCCTCGGCTATAACCCTAGACTAATAATGATGAAAAATTGGCTACAAACCTGCCCATTCTCATAGGCTTATAAATGATGAAACCTTTGCTACATACCTGCCAATACTTCTAGACTGATAAATGACGAAACATTGGCTACAAACCTGCCCATACTTCTAGGCTAATAAATGACGAAACATTGACTACATATCTGCCCATTCTCCTAGGCTAATGCCCATTCTCCTAGGCTTATAAATGATGAAACCTTTGCTACATACCTGCCCATACTCCTAGGCTTATAAATGATGAAACTTTCGCAGATCTCCAGTTCATCGATCGTATTGGATTGACTATTGCATGGTATCTATCTATTGTCATGGCTGACAAGGTCAAACAAGTTGCATGTAAAGGCACCTGTAAAATGTTTTTATCAACTTTAAAATACATCATAATCACGAACATCTCATTATTTTGGAATTTTTATACAATGCTTTAACAGTTTTAGATAATTATGAAAATGACCACATGTTACATTTATACTACATAGGGTGTTATCAAACTGATTTTGTACTTCATCATTAGAAACAACATTTTACATGGATCATTATTTTATGTTTGTGTTAGGTACAGATATATGGTTATGGTGTTCAGTAGATTATATATAGTTGTGATATTAATTCTGGATCTCAGGTTTCCATTACTCATTATCCAATATCTTCATACAAAATGCAAAACTGAAACGTGAAAACTCGGATATTATGTTTACGTTTTAAATTGACAAGTTCATAATATTTAATTTGATAACGACCTTATGCAACAAACACCTATGTTTGACTTATACTGGGATACCCATATTTCCATTTTCTAAAGTTATAAAATTATAGTGGAAAGAGTCATATTCATTTATTGTCTGAAGCTTGGATTAAACAATGAGTGACTATCATGCTTTGCGCGAAGTTAAACTTCATATGTTGAAATTGTAAATATATTTGCATGAAAAAATGTTTGTCTCCTTTTGTTTACTTTACTAAACAGCTAATATTTGTGATTTGTTAAAGATTGTAATGTTGCTATAATATTTCTCTGGTTGTATACAGGATAATTAATCTTGATTAGCCTTATGTTACAGAATGAACTCGATATCAAAAACTTCACTTATTTGATTCGATATAATTTCGACATCTTACTTAAAGTAATGTCACTAAGAAGCACAGAAGGATGAGAGTGAAACCATTAGGATTCCTTTTATGTTATATGTTCAGGAATGATATGTTTGATCGGATAGAAGTCTATTAGACGAAGTAGAAATAAATCCAACAGAACGATTTATCTTATTACACGTAATACTTAATAAATCAGAAGGGATTTGTGAGAGAAACAAATTAAAAAGTGAACATTCACACAATTTATCTGATTACAAAGTCCTATTACGGTTGCAGTTGAATTGTCGAAGCATACGTAAAGTGGAAATAACATTTCTTGTATCATAAACATATAAAAAAAAATAGGTATCGTAGTAAATGATACACAATCTCGCTTACATACTGAATTGAGAATTACAAGACGATGACAACGTACAAATGTTGTTGTTAATACAATGGCAATCAGAATCCTTGTTATACCCCAGGACTGAAAAATAGTGAATTATAGAAAAACAAAGGATATGGGGTATCCATCCATGACACAAAATAAGTACATGCACATTGATAAAACAACAAAGGAAAAGTCCACCAAACCCTTAAAAAGATTTTGATTTCATAGAAAAAAACAGGATAATATAACTTATAAAAGTAGGATGATGTAGTATGATTGCCAGTCAAACAGGTATCCACCAGAGACCAAATAACATAAAAATAAGCGACTATATGCCACCGTAAGGTCTTCAATAATGAGCAAAACCGATACCACACAGCTGGTTATAAAAGGCCCCGAAATGAAAAATGTCAAACAATTCAAACGAAAAACCCAACGGCCTGATGAATGTACAAAACAAAAAACGAATAACAAATATGATCTACAAAAACAAACGACAACCAATGAATTACAGGCTCCTGGCTTGGAGATTATCCTGTCATACCCCAAGCATACATTGTATATCTATATTTTCACAACTAAAAAAATAAAATCTTAAGGTAGCTGGTGTGTCTTCCGCCATCTTGGATTTTGAAATAGCAATCGTTCTAGATCTTTAATGAAATGTGCAAATGTCTAGAGTAGTATGTAATTCATGTGTAAGACTTTTCATGTTTATATAGAAAACTATGTGTTGTATCATATTTTACGGCTGTATTTTACAAAAAAAAAAATGTTTGATTCATTTTTTTCAACTTTGCCACATAAGGGAAGATAACTCAGATAAAGTTACTTTTATAATAGAATGTGTTGTGAATTTACTTATCTTTTATGTACCAAGAAAACGAATCCGGTGACCTATTTTTTTTCTTTTTCTTATCTGAAAGCATATTATAAGAGCTGTCTTCTCATATTTTATCTTAAAATTCTATGGTGTAGTTTTCTTTTTATCACACAAAATTGGGTTTTCCATGCATAATCTATACAAAATCTGAAAATTTTGCATAACATGTTGCGTGAAAAAAAGCCTTGTGACCCATACTTTTTATCATATTTTTGAAAAAGCATGGTATAAACTACATTTTGACAAATTATTGAAAAATTCTATGGATCTTAATTTACACCCCAATCTACCTTAAATAGATACACAAGCACATTTATATCACATACTTAGCAAAAATATGTCTATTTCTTTGTATCTAATAAACCCGAAAAAAATAATTAACCAACTAGACAAAAAAAAAGTTTTCAAGTGCTGTTCGAACGTACCGAGGCTGATAACCCTATATCAGCCTGGCTTGACCTCATCTGGTCGGGCTGATATTGGTTTATGAATTTATCATCCTATAAAGACCCTAAACTAACGCCCTTAAAGCACGTTACAGAAACCTTTCAACACGTGTTAAGGATCCGGAGGTATGCAGATGATCTGCTGTTTTAGTTCTGAACATGCATGACGTATTTGCCACTGGACGTCGAGTGTTTAGAAAGTGATGATTAAAACCAAGAGTGAGCTCGATTTATCATAAACGATGTATTAAACAAATTTAGTAACTAATAAATATTTCAATTTATTTTGTTGTACAATGACGTTCAATACTTTCAACACACGAAAATTATTTTACAACTTGCGTAATTACATGTGTACATATAGGACATTGAAATGGAACATCAAAAGCCATTTCAAAAACAAAAACACAACAACGAAAGTGAGCTCCATAACATTATGCAGACTGTATATTAAACAGATATCATATTCCGTTTCATCTTTTCCATCAATAGAACGATAACAATTTCAACAGCGTAAAAGTAATTACTCTGTCACAACAGTTTATTAATTCTAACTTGGATAGTTTATAATGGATTAAGTGAATGCTTTACGACAATACAAAATCCGTTTCCGGTTATACAACTTTTATGTTTGTACTTTTGTTTGACCCTAAGTGTCGACCTTGTAAGACATAAAATGAAATCCTTTGAATTAAATTCCGTTAACAGAAAAAAATATCAAAGGAACTCTTCCGATGATATAAACAACTTGATAACATAAGTATAATATAATCAGACAGTTACTGCGATGAACACGGAAAGAAGGGTGGTCATAATACAGGGGGGACAAAAATAGGAAACCCGGAATTCACACAGGATAGTTTCTATACGGGAGCAGTTTCGACACGTGTGGCAAGCCGTTCTCGTTAAAACTATGTTTGAAACATTTTTTTACACGCTGAGATTAAAAAAAAAACACACTGAGATTAAAAACGTAAAAACACACACTGAGAATTAAAAAATACACATTCAGATTACAAAAAGACATACTGAGATTAAGAAAAATGAAAAACACACTCTGATAATTTAAATTACACGCTGAGATTTGTGTGCACATTTCGCATACCTAATCTGAATCTATTACATGCTTCGGGTCTCAATAATTATCGACGAGAAGCGACAAGAAAACAAATTCAGCGTCAAGAAGTCTTAATACTGATTATTTCAGTTAAATAAATATAGAAACATGCATTAAAAAGTAAAATCACAAAAATACTGAACTCCGAGGAAATTCAAAAAGGAAAGTCCATAATCAAATGGCAAAATCAAAAGCTCAAACACATCAAACGAATGGATTACAACTGTCATATTCCTGACTTGGTACAGGCATTTTCTTATGTAGAAAATAGTGGATTGAATCTGGTTTTATAGCTAGCTAAATAAAGTTCTTATTTAGTATTTTCATTTAAACGTTCAATAAACTGTATATAACAGGGGCGGATCATGGATTTTTTAAAGGGTGTAATTACTGAAAATGTGAAACTATGCACCGAGCATAGCAAGTCGAAATTTTATTGGAACGATCTTATGCTAAAAGTAGGGGCGTAAGTCCTCTAGGCTCCACCTGAATCCGCCATTTAAGAATTTCCCTAAATCTTCTGTATCGGTGATCGACATCATGAGGAAAACGTGGGCGCTCCAACATATCAATCGAAACACCGAGGTGAGGTACGAAAGTTGGTGAGGTGTTCCGATTTATATTTTTATGTGACAAGAGTTCAGGTGACTGAGATATTAATCTGTTGAATAATTCATGTCATGAATATTCATTAGTAATGTGCATAATCACAGTGTGTATTTTTGAAATCCCAGTGTGTATCTTTAAATTTCAGTGTGTAATTTTAATTCTCAGTGTGTGTGTTTCAGTTTGTTTGTGTAGTTTCTAATTCTAGTGTGTGTTTTACATTTTTCTTAATTTCAGTGTGTCTTTTTTAAATCTCCGTGTGTAATTTTCTATTCTCAGTGTGTGTTTTTAATTTTTTTTTAATCTCAGTGTGGTTTTTTTTTAATCTCAGTGTGTGAAGTTTTCGAAAAAATGGTTTAAAGATAGTTTTGACGAGAACAGTTCGCCATGGCCACACACCCATCTTGAAGGTCGTTCACTTTTTGTCTCATTGGCACTCATACCACATCTTCTTATATCTAAATCTCCAATTTCTAGTACATAGATTTTTCTTGAAATAATATGTCTTGTTGATACATAAATTTCCGTTTTATTTATGTGATATACTAATAGGGTCACCGACGTCGTATTTACGCTATACACAATCAAAGTGGTGTTCTAGGTGAAAAGAAATACCTCAAAACGTAAAAATAGGCGTAACGTCATCGCGTTATAAAATAATATAAGCCGTAAAACGTTGATTTTAGACGTTTTTCACTACCAATTAGGTAACAGATTGGTCAATATACCGAAAATAAAGTAGGTGACGCTGTCATTAGTTTATATCATTAAAACGGAAATTAATCTATCAACAACATATAATTTTTTAAGAAAAATCTATGTATTAGAAATTGGGGATTTGAAGATTTAAAAACAAATTTAAGAACATTTTCATCAATTTTGTTCACCTATTATGAGACAATTTAATTAGCAATATTTCAGAAAACAAAAGATATTAATGAGTTATTTTTTTCCGATTTTCAGTTATAGTTAAACGAGCCAAAGTTGTATGCAAAATTTTATAAATTATCTATGATATAGCCTATTTACTGTTACTTAACCTTAAGTAGTTAGTTCAAACAACAGTAGTACAATATGTAACTACATTTGGAATGTATAAATAAACAATGTATTGTAAACGCGTGATTATAATTTTTATGTAATTCCAATATTGAATTTTGTTGTACAGTGACGTTCCAAACTTTCAACACACAATAACATAATATGGATAGGAGAATTTCAAAATTTTACTCAGCAACACGAATATTAAAGAAGCAGCAGGCAATCTAGTCTCCATGACTAGACAGGTGTTTGTATGATATGTTCAGCTCTAAGAAAAAGCTCTAAGAAAAAGATTGATTTATTATTATAACCTTCCTTATAAAATGGCGTTTTGTGAAGAAACCTATATATAGGTTTTTTGGTTGATTTATTAAACTATACATATCTTACATATATCATATAAGTTGACAGCTTGCAGACAGCATCTCCTAGAATCCAGGTTGGTATAACGATGTGAATCAGTGTTGCAGGTACCACAAATATAATAAACATCAAATCAGCGAAGGCGAGGTTGATGACGTATACGTTCGTTACAGACCACTCACCGAATCGAAACAATATATAGAGTACAAGTCCGTTGCCAATGGCACCTGTTACTATGATCAGACTCCATACTGAGCTGACCAGTACCACTGCTTCCATTGGTAACTGTTGTGATTTGGTGTCATTTCCGGTTGTCATTAAAATGCTGCTTATATTTTCTGTAACAGTTTCCATATTGTCCTACAAAATAATATAAAGATAACCTATTCAAATATGAATATATATATATATATATATAATTTATAGATAATTTAGATAGATAATTTAGCTAATCTGCAATCAATTCCATCTTCATGCCTAATATATCATGTACTGTGTTACAACTCTAGACTCTACTGACGAGGAAAGGTAACACTAGAATTTTTAGTTCAGTATAAGAGGCCGAGTAGTCTAGAGCGCTGGACACAGTGCAGGCGGTGTTGTCTCGATATCTCAATAGCATGAGTTCGAATCCCGGCGAGGGAAGAACAAAAATTTGCTTCCGCAAATTTGCAGATTTAACCTTGTTGTGCTGATATTTAGAGTGATTATGAATATGATATGTGTTTTCAGTCGTGTATCACCTTCACTGCTGGTCCAATGAATGGATCTGTCGTAGAGTTGTCACTTGTTTAGACGTACTTATTAAAATAATTATTTCTGTGGCTGTATCTTACGATCCTTTACGATAGATAATTTAGCTAATCTGCAACCAATTCCATCTTCATGACTAATATATCATATACAGTGTTACAACTCTAGATTCTACTGACGAGGAAAGGTCATATATATAATTACTCTAAAAATCAACACAATAATGTTAAATCCGCAAATTTGCAGATTTAACATTGTCATAGTAGATGAAATATATAAAAAAAAAAAAAAACTAAAATCTAGAGGATACAAAACCAAAAACATCACAGACGCTTTTCATAAAGCCCAAGAAAAAGATCGAGATATCCTCATGGAATACAAAGATAAGACGACCCGCGCAGATAGAATTCCGTTTGTTGTCACCTTCCATCCCGATTTGACAAATATGTCATCTACTATCCGCAAGCACTGGCGTCTTATCGAAAATGACTCTTCCTTAAATGAAATTTTTCCATCGCCTCCTGTTATTGCCTATCGCAGACCCAAAAATCTCAAAGACATACTTGTCACATCTAAAGTAAAGAAACAAGAGACTTCTAAAATTGGGTGTTACAAACAATGCGGAAGAACCAATTGTAAGTGCTGTAAAGTCGCCAACACTGATCGCTCTTTCAGCAGCACAGTAACAAAGCAGCGATACAACATCTATGTTACATCTAATTGCAAAACGGAAAATAGTATTTATATTCTTACTTGTGGATCTTGCAAGCTGCAGTATGTTGGTGAAACAGAAACGAAATTCAACCTCAGACTTAACAATCACCGGTCTTTATATACAAAAAGGAAGAAACAGTCCAATTACAAGACACCTCTTAAGAACAGGGCATACTTTTGAAAAAATCACCATTCAAATAATTGAGGTAAACCAAATTTGGGACTCCCAAAGGAGAAAACAGAGAGAAAGGTTCTGGATGCATCAGCTACGTACTCTTGAACCTGATGGACTTAATGAGAGAGACGAAAAACATTTCTACCCAAAACCAAAGGAATGAATCATTCTATTTAACTAAAACAACTATTTGTTTTGATTTAAGAATTGCTATGTACAATAACCGGCAAAACTATTTTTCTAGACATTTAACATTGAGCTGCAAAAATTTCTTTACAGCCTCTAACTTTTACCTGATTGGCTGCACGCGCCGGATGAAGCTAATTTGTTTAGCAAAATATTGCGTGAATAATATAAAATATAACAACTAATTTTATAACACTCATTAGTGTGTTAAAGTTCCATTCTTAGGCACTTATATATATATATATATATATATATATATATATATATAAATAAGTCTAAATTGAAAACAACACTCATACCTATGATTGCGTTGGATAAAAACCGCAATTTTTATACGTGTGCATGCAAAACAAATTTCTTGGTGGAGGGGTCTAAATACAGCACAAACAACATTTTCCAAAAGACCAAAAAAGTGAAAAAGTATATTTTAACAAAACGCATTTGACTAGCAGGTCGAACAACTGATGTTCTTAAACCCTGCTGACTACCATTGGCGATTGCCAAATAAACGGATCACCAGATGTAACAAAACGGATCTTATAATAATTTATTACCAAACAGAAAACAATAAACTTGCGGAAAAGATGGTATACCGCAAACCTGAGGTGCAAAAATTTGTACACCATATCCGGATTTCGACAATATTGTCCCTTCAGTGATGTTAGGAATCGAAACGGTATTTGGAAGACCATACAGTTTACCTCAATTTAGGATAGACTCTTGAATTTAGAAAGAGTCGAAATAGGATGAACGGATTATATAAACCCGAAGGCAAATATAATACAAGCCCAAACAAAAAAATATAAACAAGTCTAAATTGAAAACTACGCTCATACCTATGATTGCGTTGGATAAGAACTGCAATTTTTATACGTGTCCATTCAAAACAAATTTCTTTTTAGGGGGGTCTAAATACAGCACAAACAACATTTTCCAAAAGACCAAAAAAGTGAAAAAGTATATTTTAACAAAACGCATTTGACTAGCAGGTCGAACAACTGATGTTCTTAAACCCACCTGACTGCCATTGGCGATTGCCAAATAAACGGATCACAAGATGTAACAAAATGGATCTTATAATAATTTATTACCAAACAGAAAACAATAAACTTGCGGAAAAGATGGTATACCGCAAACATTTCGTCTTTATCGGTTTTTCTGTTCTTTTTTTTTTATTGTGTATTGTTTATAAGTTGTCGTATGTCTTGTCGTTATCGTTCTTTGGAGAATTGGGCTTTTAAGGCAGATCTGTGATTTTATCTGTTAACTTTATTTCATAGTATATGTTTATTGTTTAAAGACATATATATAGAATGGAAACGATATATATGTATATATATATAGAAACACTTAGTAACGTCTTTATCGGTTTTTCTGTTCTTTTTTTATTGTGTATTGTTTATAAGTTGTCGTATGTCTTGTCGTTATCGTTCTTTGGAGAATTGGGCAGATCTGTGATTTTATTTGTTAACTTTATTTCATAGTATATGTTTATTGTTCAAAGACTACGTTGCCCTTTATATGTCTTTTTGGTTATTTTTGTCGTAAGGTTAAAACTATCAAAGATCTTTCCCGAGTCTCCCTCCCTAACGTTTTGTAGGCCCCAAATGCATGAAAGACTTGCTGGTGAGAACTGATTTATCCTCTAAACCAGGACTTCATGACCCAAACCAATCATGCACTCTGTCTTGATCTTTTTTTATTTCATACTACTTCCTTTGGTGATGCTAGGTAAGTTGTCGATAATATCATATATTTACAAGATTCGAACATCATTCAAGTATTGTTGAATTTCTTGTACATTGACATTGAAAGGTACAATGTTGTATATATAATAGTATAGGCAATCGTTAGTTTTCATGATAAAGTTGATTTTTTATGAATCATGTTAAGAAGTGTGATCGATACTGAATAAGAAAACATTAACAATGGCATTGGAAAACTAGATAACTATCTATCTATGGAGTTTTCAATTAAGAAGAAAACATAAAAATAAAGCGCATTGAATTTAATTTTCTCCCAAATTAAAACCTCTTCAATTGAGCATACAAAGAATGTTTTATCTTTTGTCCTATCATTTTGATAGAATTTGATGCAGCAGATTTGTAAGAGATTTACGTTAAATGCATACTCATGTCCGATTTAAGTGGGCTACAATGGCTTGCAACAAATGTGCTCCTCTTTTGTATCATTGTGTCGACTAAAATAGTTATGCTATTTAATGTGTAATTGACAAATCAATGTTTTCATATAGTTATAATCGAACAAACTCGTCAATGTTCTTAGATAAGGAAACATTTTGGTTTTATTAGATTTCATGCTATGAGACGTTTTACAGGTCCGACCTCATGCTCTAAGACGTTTTACAAGTTTTTTTTAATGCTCTCGGACGTTTCAGATGTTTTATTTCATGCTCTCAGACTTTTTACATGTTTTTGTCATGTTCTCAGACGTTTTACATGTTTAATTCCATGCTCTCAGATGTTTTAAATATCTTATTTTATGCTCTCAGACGTTTAATATGTTAAATTTCATGCCCTCAGACGTTTAAAAGGGTCGACTTTGTGCTATAAGAAGTCTAACATGATTTAATTCATGCTATAAGACGATTTACATGATTTATTATATGCTCTTAGACATTTTACATGATTTATTTCATGCTCTCAGACGTTTTTCATGTTTAAATTCATGCTCTAAGATATTTTACATGATTTATTTCATCCTCTCAGACGTTTTCATGTTTTATTTCATGCTCTCAATGTTATATAGGTTCGACTTCATGCTCAGAGACGTTATTTCATGTTTTATTTCATGCTCTTAGACGTTTAACATGTCTTATTTCATGCTCTCAGATGTTTTATTTGTTTTATTTCACGCTCTCAGATGTTTTACATGATTTATTACATGCTCTCAGACGTTTTATTTGTTTTAATTCATGCTCTCAGACGTTTTATTTGTTTTAATTCATGCTCTCAGACGTTTTATTTGTTTTATTTCATGCTCTCAGATGTTTTACATGATTTATTACATGCTCTCAGACGTTTTATTTGTTTTAAATCATGCTCTCAGACGTTTTATTTGTTTTAATTCATGCTCTCAGACGTTTAACATGTCTTATTTCATGCTCTCAGATGTTTAACATTATTTATTACATGCTCTCAGACGTTTTATTTGTTTTATTTCATGCTCTCAGACGTTTTATTTGTTTTATTTCATGCTCTCAGACGTTTTATTTGTTTTAATTCATGCTCTCAGACGTTTAACACGTCTTATTTCATGCTCTCAGATGTTTTACATGATTTATTACATGCTCTCAGACGTTTTATTTGTTTTATTACATGCTCTCAGACGTTTTATTTGTTTTAATTCATGCTCTCAGACGTTTTATTTGTTTTAATTCATGCTCTCAGATGTTTTATTTGTTTTAATTCATGCTCTCAGACGTTTTTCGTGTTTTATTACATGCTCTTATACGTTTAACATGTTTTATTTCATGCTCTTAGACAGTTTACAGGTTCGAC